CCCAAACCCTAGAAACCAAAACCTAAGGGCATGAGGAGCCAGGGAGCTGGTGGACGACCATCACCTTCTCGACATGAGGATCCGGCTCAGGCAGCTTTGGGGCAACAGTTAGGGCCTATAGGCTTTAGGATTTAAATCTTAAGGATGAGGGTTTGGGGCTTAGGATTTAATCTTAGGGATTAGGGTCTAGGGCTTTGGGATGTAATCTTAGGGATTAGGTTTTAGGGCTTTAGGATTTAATCTTAGGGATTAGGGTTTAGGCTTTAGGAATTAATCTTAGGGATTAGGGTTTAAGGCTTTGTAGCTTAGGTGAGTTGCGGCTGCATCGACGCAACAACATCGCGGAGGCTCGATTGCCTACCCTTGTGTCAACCAGCATAGTCCTGCTTGCTTTGTTTGTAATTTGGGTTTAGGGTTCAGGGTTTTGGGGTTTAGGGTTCAGGGTTTTGGGGTGTCACAGCCCCAATACAAATCTGTGGAATCCTTGGCCCTTGCTGCCAGAAAGCACTTGTCATTCCGAGCTGGGCCAACTTCTTCCTTAGTTGACGTGGCTGGATGCAAAGGTCTGAAAATTAGCCGGAATATCCTTCTAAAAGAATCCTCATATTACCACCAAAACCCTCTTGTTCTACTTGCCACGGAACCTTTATTAGCCGGAAAAAGCACGCAACCACTTGGGAGTTTCCGAAAATAGGGGACCCGAATATAGTACCCTAAATAATAGGATCCTTAATATAAGGACCCCAAAAACCCTAAACCCTAAACCCTAAACCCAAAACCCAAAACCCCAAACCCTAAACCGTTATTTTCGGAAACCCCCACTTTCTGGGTGCAGGTGGGATTCAACGAGTTCACGATGGACAGGGAGCTGGCGGCATCCAGACCTCGCCAGCATGAATCAATCTGCATGCTCGCCTGCCTCTGTCTACCTATAAACGGTTTAGGGGTTTAGGGTTTAGGATTTAGGGTTTAGGGTTTAGGATTTAGGGTTTAGGGTTTAGGGTTATAAACCCAAAATCATGGCCCAAGATGTATAAGATTCTACATACTTTGGGGTCCAGGTAATAGCTTCATGTGATGCCTTGCAAAAAAAACATGCTAATTGCGGCATACCTCCAGTGTCTTGCGATGCGAGAAACCCTACATGCATATCTGGATTCTTAACCCTACACCCTAAATCCAAAACCCTTAACTCTAAATCCTAAACCCTAAACCCCAAATGACTACAACCCTTCTGCTGATGTGCACGTACCGTCCGCAGCTCAGAAAAGGTGCGTCGCTCGCTTAGCGAGCCCCGAATCCCGTAAATCCCTCATAGAACCCCTCTACATTCAAGGAAACTACAGGTGGGGAGTTTAAGGTATATAGAGCTTCTATAAGGCTTCTATAAGGTATAGAAACCTTCTATAAGGCTCCTATAGCGGTGACTACCCACCTGAAAATGTCCTAGACTACATCCCTAGAACAACTCTAAACCCCTACACTCTTGAACCCTAAACCTCTACATCCCTAACGAAGAGGAACCCATACACAAAGCCCCCCCCCCCCCAAAAAAAAAAAACAAAGGCCTGAAGTAGGCTCGTCCAGGAATAGCATCGTTGGATCCTGCGATCGGGGATTTCGGGTCTAGGGTATAGGGTGTAGGGGGTATAGCCGTATAGGTTTAGGGATCTGGATAAGGCTTCATTAAGGTTTAGGCTTTTAGGGTTTA